GAGCTTAGGGTTTAGGGCTTAGGGCTTAGGGTTCAGGGTTTAGGGTTCAGGGTTTAGGGTTTAGGGTTTAGGGCTTAGGGTTCAGGGTTTAGGGTTTAGGGTTCCGAACTCCGCTACTACAAAGCGAAGCAAGGCCTAAACAAGAAATCCCGAAACCCTAGACAACGCCCGAACCCTAAACCTTCAACCCTAAGCCCAGTGATCCTTGGGTCCTGCATCCCTTCTTGCGGATTTCAGAAAATCTCCCGTCCGCCTTTGTCAGCTGGGCGGATGGGAAACAACCCTAAGCCTTCGAACTCCGAAACCCGAAGCCTGAGCGCATGCGCTGGAAAGCCCTAACCTCGTAAACCCTAGGTTCAACCAAGAAACCTTATACTTTTAAGCTTCTTGAACCAGAGATTTTGAAATCGTAAAGCCTCACTGTGAGTCAACCACAGTGAGGCTGCCAGGTTGTTGCGGGAGGCTTTGGCCAACGTCCGAAGCGGGGTTTTCGGGTTTCTCCAAAGAAGTTTCCGGTTCCAGGGCCAACGGTCTGGTGTGTTAAAAGTTTAGGGTTTGAGCACTTTGGGGGATTGTGCAACAGAGGGTGCCGTTTAGGGTTTAGGTTTTGGTTTCAGTTGAAACCCTTTTCAGTAAACCCTGCATATTATAGGAGGGAGAAACCCTTGCTATCACCGAATGGTGAATCGAACATGCAGAGCTGCAGGCAATTAATGAGGCCTTTACTCGAACCCCTTAAAGGAACGCCACAAAATCTCCCGAAGGAACGTCCAGGGGGTGTGTGGTGGGGGGGCCTTGTCGTTGACTCCGCTGAAGCTCTCTTCACCACGCTTGGTTCACGAGTCTTCATGCTTCGATTGATGTAATGTAGGGGGGCCTTCATAGGGCCTTGGGGTATGTACTGTACTCTGGTTATAGTAGGAAACCCTTAAATTATGTTGGTAGTTATTGAGGCCCCTACAGTAGATGAACATGTTCAAGGTATATGCTTCGAGAAGGCCTGCGAATCAGCATCAGACGGTCGTTTAGGTTTGGCATGGTACCTCGTGGTTTTGCGCAGACCTCGGTGAGCATACCATAGGTACTACAGGGGCTTAAAATACTATTATGGGGGTTCGGTTCATGATAATAGTATAATGGGCCCCAAACCCTATTCGAAGCATTAAGGCACCTATATTAACCCTGCTTGGCGTTACAAGGGTACGAGCCTGGCTGAACATTATATGGAAGTTTCCGAAAATAGGGGACACTAATCTGGTACCCTAAATGGTAGGATCCTTATTATAAGGACCCCCAAAAGAAGGTACCCCTAATTTTCGGAAACCCAAAACCCTTATAGAGCCCTTTAAAGGAACCCTTATAGTACCCTTATCGTAACCCTTTAAAGGAACCCTAAGGTACCCCCCTATCTTCGGAAAACTCCCATATTTCGCTGCTCCGGTGCTCCAGAGCACATTCCGGAAAGCCCATCGTCATGCTTACAAGCAGCCATCATCTGTTAGGGTACGATACGGGTTCCTTTAAAGGGCTCTATAAGGATTTAGAGTTTCCGAAAATTGGGGGTACCTTATGATGGCTTTGAAGGGGCCCCCACCCTGTAATAGTGGTATAATCGGAATATAATAGGGCCCGAATATATAGTCCTCATAGTCACTATTACAGGGTGGGGGCCCCTTCTAAATCATCTGTTTCATGAAGACTCAAGTGCTTGCAAGAGTGACGAGGTAAAGCCTGCACGACGGCCAAAATTGCTCTGTAGGGTTCCTTATCACATTCATACTGTACGGTGTGCCAAGACCCTGTTTTATTTCAGGCCGCGAAAACCTTAGTTCACTAATACAGCCTTTACAAAGATCACTTCAATGGAGCCCTGTAAAGTCTACTCATATTACGCAGCTGCACTAGGGCTTCGGGCTTGGCTAAGCCTCCGCTAGGGCCATGGATTTTCCGAGCCGCTTGCGGTTCCAGCTGGTGCCTTAAGGTCCAGGGCAATAGGGTTATACGGTATGGGGTTCTGGATTTACGGCATCCTCAGGTCCAGTAGCTGAAAGGGTTGATGCAGTCAAGCCGTCGAGCGAAAATCGAAGCGGCTTCAAAGTTCCACACTCTCAGGTCTCTTTTGCCAGTACTGTAGACTAGCACGAGCAGTCGCCACGCCAGAACGGGACCCAGAGACTCAACACCCCTTAATTAAGGAATATACCCTAAATCATGTTAGGGATCCCTGATATGATTTAAGGTATATTCCTTAATGAAGGGGAGGATTACCTTGCATCTTGCACTGCTCGGGCAGCCAACGCATGTAAAGCATCCCGGATGCTCAAAGACTTCAACCCTAAAAGCCCTCAACCCAAACCCTAAACCCTAAACAACCTTAAACTCTAATCCCTAAACAACCCTAAATCCCATACAACCCTAAACCCTAAACCCTAAAAACACCTCAAAACAACCCTGAGGCCTGTTGCACTGAACCCAGCTAAACCGTCAGACCCAAACCCTAGGTTCAGGGTTCGTTTCAAGGGTGCTAAAAGGGTTCCTTTAAGGGATCTATAGGCATAGAACAGTGCGTATGCCTAATGTAGGAGCCTGGGGCCTTTATTTTTTAGGGTCTCTTTAAAGGGGTCTATCAGGGTCACTATAAGGGACCTACAAAGGTACTATAATAATGTAGAAGCCCGATTAAGAAACCCCGGGCTTATACCTGCAAGATAGTAGGGCTCATGTAAGGAACTTTAATGTAGGCCCAAGGTTTCTTAACCAGGTGCCGACATCAAACCCTAAGTGATGTCCAAGAGTTCCTTCCGTGCTCGGACTCCCCGAGCTCCTCCGGGGTTTCATTATGGTGGCTTTTCAGATGGGGCTTAATATAGGGTCCTAAACAAGTTACCAGTATGATTCCTAGGGTTCCTTACTGTAGTTGTAGTATGATGGGCCCCAAAACCCTCTTCTAATTATTCAGGGCCTATATCTAAATCCTATAAAAGCAACCCTTATAGCAACCCTTATAGGCCCCTTTAAAGGGAACCCTTGATTTTGGGACCCTGTTGTCATTACCTTAAGGCCTTCAAGAGCTCAGGTGATCGGTCCGATAGACCTCAGGACTCGGAGCGATCGCTTAGATTTACATCCCCCTTCTATCTGCATCATATGGGTCTTAATAACTAGGATAGGGTTCCGATAAAAGGGTCTATAAGGGCTACTAGGATAGGGTTTTATATGGGTTCTATCTGCAGCATGTGGGTACGATTCCCTTTGAACGGGTCTATAGGGCTACTATAGGGATATTATGAGTTATGAGGATTTAGTGTCGGGGCTTTTTATGATTAGAATATGGGTGGTTGTCAAAATTATGCCCAGAAGGGGCCCCAATTTTGACAACTACCCATATAGGGACCGAAATTATTACAAATACTGTTCTGGGGTTCCTTATTGTTCCAAAACCTATTGGAAACAATAACGGCCCCTATATTATGCTCACTAAGTGCTAAGCTGATGAAACTAAAATCACCACCAGTATCGTTACTGTCATCAACACGACGGTGACGACGAGGACGAACACCACGACGACGACACTGCAACTCCCGTCGATGTTGCCGCAGCTGCTGGTGCGACGACTTCTTGTGATAGTGCCACGACGACGGTGACGACGACAGGACGACCCCTTCAACGGACCCCTTCAACGTTGACGACGACGGCAGTGGTTGCGACTGCTGCTGCTGCTGCTGCTGCTGTTGCAGGAGCAGTGTCATGGCAGTATCACGACTGCCACTGCTCCATACTGCGTCTATCTCTGGTTCGATCACGAGTCAGTCCGTTCATGCCGAAGATGAACCATGCACTGTTACTCTCACCTTTTACTTGTTTGCTGGGATGATGATGTCGGCTATGGCTGCAGCTTGGCTTGTTGTCTGTGTTAGCGGGTTCAATTTCTACAGCCGTTGGGCCGGTTTGGTGTTGGGGTTTAGGATTTGGAATTTATTGTCGAGGAGTGTTCGCCGGCACGCAATCCAAGCCCATGCTGAAAAGGGTCGAGTACCAAACCCTAGACCACGGAACCCCTGATCCCTTAAGTCCTAAACCCGAAACCTTTAGGTCGCACCAGCCACCCCGAACCCTATACCACTGAACCCCTGATCCCTTAAGTCCTAAACCCGAAACCTTTAGGTCGCACCAGCCTGCCCTGCGGACGGTTCCGCGTCGCCTCCGGGCGTCTGAGCTGCCCAGAGCACCGGGCCGGTACGAGAGAAGGCGGGTTCCGGAGGTGTAGGAGTTCCTGTAAGGGAATCCGTTTAAGAGTTTAAGGGGCTTCCTTTGAGGGTTCTAAAATCGGGTTCTTGTGTAAGGGATCCATAAGGGTTGCATAAGGGATTTAGGGTTTCGGGGATTAGAGTTTAGAGCGGGTGTGCGCTTTGGGTTTCTCGTTTAAGGGCTGCCATAGCTTTGAATTTAAGGGGTTTCGGGATGCAAAAATGATGCTCTAAATGTTTTTCTAAGGGTGTGAGGTTTATTTGGGCTACAGAAGGTTGAAGTACGGAGGAGCTTCGGGGTTCCATGATGAGGGCTTGGGGGGTAGGGTAGGGCTTTAGGGTTGAGGGCGCAGGGCTAGCGCCTTTAGGCTTCAGGGGTGTTCCGAAAAGCCCTGCTTCAGTTGAAGTAATGTAGGAGATTAATAATTAGAATAGGGTTCTGGGCCCATTCCAGTGAAACCACAATAAGGAACACCCAAAAAACATAGGTAATCATTCAGGCCCCTACATTATGCCGGGGATCGTGAGACGTGTCGCCGCTACTGAACTGATGGCTCGAGAGAGGGAGGTTCGAAAGAGGCGCACCCACTGGGCATCTCAATTGCAACTACGGCTACTTCCCATCACATCTTCAGCACAATCAGATCGAACTCTCTAGAATTACTTGGCTTTTTTCCTTTGGAATCTCCAGAATTACTTCGCTTTTTTCTCCGGAAGTACATATTCGATCCGAGCCTGCGCCCGTTCGACGCCATGTTGGCCAGCTCCCTCGCGCCGCCGCCCAGCGAGACGCTCCTGAGCGGCTTTAGGAGGGTGTTTTTACCATAATTCTAATAAGGAGTCCTGTAATGATTAAGGCCCCTGTAGTAGGTAGCAGGGTTTAGGGTTTAGGGGGCCAGGCAGGAGATCCAAGAGACTTTGAGGCCCGTATCATTTTTCTTACTACGGTTCTGTCGGTTATGATGGTTGATGACATGTATGCAGCTAGTTCACATGGGGCAAGAACAAGTCTTCCGTGCAGTGGCAAGTGCAGCTACCTTCATCTTGTTTTGCTTGCAGTGGGCTTCATGTCCCGTTTCGAATCACGGCCGTTGGTATATCCAGACTTCTTTACTGTGATGGCTTTGCTCTTGCCCGTTGGATTGCGTTTCGCCCCGCAGATCTCTGCACTGCTGTTGATGCTGTAGCGGTGGTGGTGCTGGTGCTGCCGGGTAGGGGTGATCGCAGCTTTGTTGGTTCTGTCACTTGGCTCTTGGAGTTTCCAAAATTTAGGGGAACCTTATTCGGGGTCCTTACAATAAGGATCCTACTATTTAGGGTACTATATTGGGTCCCCCATTTTCGGAAACCCCCATATTGAAACCGCCTTTCCTAGACCCCCGAACTACCCTCTGATCTGATAGGAAACCTTTTTCGGAACCCTCCGAGCAGCTAAGGCTGTTCGTGACTGGCCTCCCCATGGACTGCACGAACGATCCTTGGCAGCGAGGGGGTGCGGTGCACCGGTCCTTGGGTCCGAAGTTGCAGCACTGCTTATTTTGCTAGAGCTTGAATACTATAGTGTCCTAAACAATTGCCAATACTATTTTGGGCTTCAGTATTGTGAATGTAATTGTAGTTAGTATAATGGGCACCAGAACCCTATTCTAATTATGAAGGCCCCTATATGAATTGCCCCCTCTAGTGAAGTATGTTTCCAGAAATTGCTTTCTGCAGCTGATGCTGAGGTTTGCCTTTCCGCTGTGGTGTTCGGCAAGACACGACTGGAAGGTTGTCTTTTAATGATTTGTTCGACTCCGTCAACCGTCGTGCAGCCTTCTTCCAATCATTGGACCAATTCATATATCAGTCCATCAGTCAGAGAGCCACGCGATCAATCAACTAAAGGTCTCGAAAGTAAACATGGAACGAGCTCACGCTAATGCAGCAGGTAGCTAGCAGAGCAAGTGGTCAGGATGCTGGTGCTCGTGCGCAAACCAGAAAAAGCCCACATCTGATATAGGGGCCTAAACAATTACGAATTTGGGGGTTCTTCATTGTATGCACAGTATATTGGGCGCCAAAACCCTATTCTAATTATTAAGGCCCTTATGTTACAGTGGTGGCTCAACTCAGGAGTTTTGCAACGAGATCTTCAGCCAGTATGGCACTGTGAAGACTACGACGGTGCTACCGGTGTCACCAGGCCGGGCTTCGAGGTGTATCAGGCAGTTTCCGATAATTAGGGGTCCCTTATTTTGGGGTCCCCCGAATCAGCCTCAATCCTAACACTTACCGGGTATTTCACCGGTGGGGAAGGGAGTATATTTTGAACTCCACTTAGGTTCAATTCAAGGTAAGTTGGACGGTCTGTGTTCGAATGGTTCCACATAAATGCAGCAAGACAGACCAGAATCCTTCCACGACTCTGGTGAAGCATGCCGCTCCCATCGCGCAATTGTGCTGACGCTCCTGTGCGTAAACTTGACGTTTAAGCAAGAGGAACTGTGGAAACCCCATGAAGTAGGCCCTGTACCTTGAGTGCGTGTCCTTGATTCGAGGTAGCCGAAAGCCTTAATGACGTCACAGTAAGAACCTTATCAGGGGGTAGATTAGGCTTTCTACCCTAAAGCCTACACCAGCCCTCAACGTGAAACTCCTAAACCTCAGCCCCAACAGTCTCCACCATAAACCCCGAGACGTTAAACCCTCAAAACGATCAAACAAAGCGCGGCTAGGCAGAAACTGCAAAACTTTACACCTTGTATTCGGTCAAAACAGACGAGGCCCTCAAGCAGAATCGCTGCTTGCCAGGCAAGACCAAGGCAGCTGCCTTCGTGATAATGACGAGCCTGGGCTCGCAACCCTTCACCACAAGAGCCCCAAGTTGGAAAAGGGATTGCCGAAAGAGTCGGCACGGAGAATGTAGGTTTGAGGTTTGTTGAGGGATTCAGTAGGGCTTAGGGAAGCTGGACCAGAGACCAGAACAGCCAAAAGACCTTCACTCGAATCCCTGAGATCAAACACCCCAAACTGCTAAAGTAGAAGAGCACAAAGCGTTGCGAAGATGGGTCCCTAAAGGTCTTTGTTCGTGTTGAATAGTATAGAGCACTGTACTGGCCGCTTCTGGCTTCCTGTTTGTCCGCCTTTGTTTCGGTCTGTTTGTTCGTCTGTTTGTCTTTCTGTCTATCTGTCTGTATGCATGTCTGTCTGTACGTAGGTCTTTAGCTATGTAGCTACGACGTAATTGCGTAGTTTCGCGCGCATATGCGTCCGTGCATATGTACATGTGTATGTATGTAATGTATGTATGTGTGTACGTATGTATGGATGGATGGATATGTGTCTCTTTATGTAGTAAATGTGCATGTCTGTGCGTGCATAGTATGTGCAAACATATACACGCACAGGCCACACAACACACACACGCACATATATATATATATATATATATATATATATATATATATATGGGGACACAGGGTTTTCCAGTCAATGTTTCGTTTGAGCGAAGGTACGGGTTTGGCCTTGGATTGGCTTTGTGTGAGGGTAGCTCGTGGGGTTTCCTCCGCCAGAACACCGGATTCCTCTTAGGGTCTGGCATGCCCTAAACCCCTAAAACCTAAACCCTGTGCCTGTTAACGACTTCAGACCAGTTTCGCTGCAGACCTTGCCAATTTGTCCGAGTGTGAGTGTCAAAGAAAACCCCTAAACCCTAAACCCATAATCCCCAAGCACGAGACCGACTTGTAAGGCTGAAACCCTACGGATGGGTAAAGGTCCCCTGACATTCACCTAGGGAACCGAATACCCTCAATCAAGGAATATACCTTAAATTATAGGGGCCTTACTACTAGGATTTCAGGAATATTCCTTAATTAAGGGGTATTGGGTTCTCTGGGCAGTTCTGACAGAGCTCGAGCAGTGCTTCTGGCGTGCAGGGCTGAGTGTTTGCAGTTGAGGGTTTGGTGTTTGGATATTGGGGTAAAAGGTTAAGCGTTTCAGGGGCAATTGGGGTAGAGGTTTTGCGGTCTTGAGGCTGTTTTGCATCCCCGCTGGCAGAGACAGGAACGTCGAAGATGCCCAGTGGATCGTCGACCACGTGAACGGCAACGTCCCGCAGAATCTGACAGCCCCAGTCTCCGTGCCTCGTCGTAATGTCTGCAAAGGCTTGGTAGATGTCACCCGGAATTCTGCGCCCCAAACTCCACGTTCGGTCAGCTCGCCACTCACCACCGTCTGTAAGATCTCCAACTTCAAAGTCTCGATCCTCAGCCCCGGGTCAGAGACAGCTTGCTGACTGCACTGAGCTGTAAAAATTCGCGTGATAGCAATATTCAAGGGTATAACGCCGTGACACAATAATAGACTGTTCGATACAAGACTGTAACAAAATGTGGTATACCATGATGCTAGATCCGAGCCTTGAAGTCCCATTCCTGCAGCCGGCTTCCGAGAGCTTCGACGGTTCAGCATTGAAGGCTGAAGCAGCACAAGGGAGCATGTCGTTCTCGCTACGGTAAGCGATGCGCTCGTCTTCCTCTTCCACTGCACATCATCATGTTCATCCGTGCCGTTGCATGTGCTGCTAGTGCTGCTGCAGCTGCGATTGGTTGTGACTAGTCATTCTACTGCTACAAGAATCTTTTCTCTGTCTTGTGTTGTTATGTCTTTTGTTGTTATCAGCGTATTGTCACGGTTTTACTACCCCCTTACAGAATGCCTTCAGGAACAGAGGTGCCAACACCAAGCGCCACTTCTAGGGCACAAGCCTAGGACATGGGATAGCTTCTTAGCGCTTCTGAAGTGCGTGAAAGCCTAGACCCTATACTTTGAGGGTCGGGAGACTTAGTAAGTAGGTAGTAAGTAGACTTATAAGTACCCTAAAAGGGACCCTAATTGGGGTTATGGTACTTATAAGTCCCTAAAATAACCAGTTACTAAGTCCCCTAAACCCTAAACCCTAAACCCTTATAGAATCCCTATAGATCCCTTTAAAGCACCCCTTTAAAGGAACCCCTTATAGTTACTAAGTCCCCCGACCCTCCAAGTAAACCCTTGAGCCCCAAGAGCCGGGCCGTTCCTCTCAGGTGGTCTTCGCCACGCCCAGGGACGGGGCAGCTGCAGCAAAACCTAAGCCCAAGTGGGTTTGGGGTTTAGGGGGCTTAGGGGGCTTAGGGGGCTTAGGGGGTTTAGGGGGTTTAGGGGGTTTAGGGGGTTTAGGGGGTTTAGGGGGTTTAGGGGGTTTAGGGGTTTAGGGGCATGGATGCAAAGGGTTTAGGGGTACAGCCTGTGGCAAATGAGTCTGGGGTTAAGGGACCCTGATTGAAGTCCATCCGACGAGCGCCAAGTTTGAACCCTGACCCCGACTCAACCCAACGAGCGAGCCCAACAAGCCTTCAAAAAAAGCTTTCACGGACATCCAAAACCCAGGAGGCCCTTAGAAGGCTCCAGAGAGCAGTCCCCGGCCTGACTTAAGCAGGACAAAATGGCGAGTCCGATGGGAAAGGGCATGATGATGAAGGGGTCCATGCCACTTGGCTCCGCGAAGGTGGACCCAAACCTTAGCCTTGGTTTTTCGGGGCCAGCAACAACAAGTAACAAGTTGTAGTATTGTAGTATTGGCATTAGTAGTAGCAGGAGTTGTAGTAGCAGCAGCAGGAGTAGAAGTAGCAGTAGCAGTAGCAGTAGCAGTAGCAGTAGCAGTAGCAGCAGCAGCAGCACCAGCAGCAGCAGTTGCTGTTGCAGTAGCAGTAGCAGTAGCAGTAGCAGCAGCAGCAGCAGGAGCAGGAGCAGGAGCAGGAGCAGTAGCCGTCGCGGTCGCAGTCGCAGTCGCAGTGGCAGCAGCAGTAGCAATAGCAGTAGCAGTAAGAGTCGGAGTAGGCGTAGGAGTAGGCATTAGGTACTAAGTACTAGGTTTAGTGTACGGTACGTCTTGCCAGCCCCACCCTACTCCCTTCGAGAATTATAGCCTTGGAGGACAAGCACCTCCGCCCGATTGACGGTTGGTATTTTAGTTTTCTGTGCAGGTAAAGCGTCGTACTATTCTAGAATACCCAACCAATTCGTTGGATCAATGCCGGACGCCCTACTTTACCCACACAAAACCCACACAAACCCTCCTCTCCAATCAACAATCCTGGCTACTGACGTACGTTGGCTACTCCGCAGGATCCTTTGCACCATGTCATTTTCAGCCCAGGCTACCAAGACAGAATCAAATTCTCGAAGTCCAAGAACAGAGGCCACCCACGACAGTATTGGTTCGATATAGTTTCCAATCAGGCGATTAAATTGGCTGAAGTTTTGACCACTCCGCTCGGACTCAGGATTTTATCGGTGTAAAACACCTCATACAAAAACACGAAAGCTTTCGCTCGCATCTGCTGGCAACACCGACGCGCAACGCTGAATCGTTTAAATTTCTTAGAAGCAGAAGAAGTGCTAGATACTATGTACTAGTTACTTGTTCCTTATGAGTAGTTAGTAGTTACTAGTTAGTAGTTAGTAATAGTTACTCGTTACCAATTACTAGTCGTCGTCGTAGTAATAGTAGCAGTGGCGGCGGCAGCAGCAGGAGTAGCAGGAGGAGGGGGAGCAGCAGTAGTCGCAGTCGCAGTCATAGTCGTAGTCGTAGTGGTGGTGGTGGTAGCAGCAGTAGCAGCAGCGGCAGCAGTGGTGGCAGTGGTGGTGCCCGCAGTAGTAGCAGTAGTAACAGTGGTCGCAGCAGTGGCAGTAGTAGCTGTAGTAGCAGTAGTCAGACAGCGGTCGTCAGCAGTAGTAGCAGGACGCGTAGTGACAGGAGAAGAAGTAGCAGGAAGAGTAGCAGACATTCCACCTATAATAGCTTAATTATTATTAACAGTCAGCTCAGTGGCAGAGAAGCGACATTATGATTGTTGTCATTTTTGTTATTATGGTTCTTCTTCTCAGTAGCAGCAGTAGCAGCAGTAGCCGTAACAGTAGCTCAGTAGCAGCAAGAGGAGGAGTAGCAGTAGTAGTGCCAACACTCGGTAGCAGTGGAGCAGGAGCACCCATTCGGGATGTTCCCTAAAGGAGTCATAACCCTAAACCCTATACCCTCAAGCTGGGCGGGGGGGAAAAACCCTAAAGGAGTCATCATGGCTCCTGTATGCAACCCGGCCGAGGATGAAGGGAGCCAGCCCAATGGCCATGAAAGGCGACCCGTTCGCAAGCCGACTGAGGCAGATGACTTAAGGTGCATCTGATGGGGGTGTAGGGCTTCAGGCCAGTTTGGCTGATGCCTTGCGTGCCAAGCCCCCTGATGAGGTTAAGTGGGACTTGAGGTTTCATGGTCCAACCCTCATCCTTAAAGGCCACAGCTTAGGACCCTAAAGCACCGGATGAAACGCACTATCGAGAAGTGTGAGCGCCGAAGCGCTAAAACCTCAAGACCGGCCTCGGAAGCCTGGAAGCCGGGAGGGTTTTAATGGGTCACCGGAAGGGACGCCATGAGGCAGGGTTCAGAGCTTGAAGTTTTTGGGGGCATTTAGGTTTTGGTCTAAATGCTGCCGGCCGTCTGGAAGCTAGCGGCCTAGCCTCACACTTTCTGCTGGAAAGTGTCTCTTAGCAGTGAAGATAGAGTGCGCCCACGCTAAGCCCTGGGATTGCTTGTGCGTGTGTGTGTGTGTGTGTGCGCGTGTTTTTTTTGTTTTTTGTGTGTGTGTGTGTGTGTGTGTGTGTGTGTGTGTGTGTGTGTCTGTGTGCGTGTGTGATAAACGCAGGTGCACGCAACCCTCAATGCAGAGAGCACCACGCTTCAATATGTTTTGGCGTCTGCATCCGTAGATCAGCTTGAGTCACTTGCCCTTTGAAGCAACGCAGCACGTGGACCTACAACGGCACAAAGAGCTTCTGTCCTTCTGTGCCGATCCGACGCGTCACGGCGACGGGTGAAGTGGCACCCATGGGTTGATTCCAGGGCCCCTGCGTGTTCCACCCGCCTCGGCCTTAAACTCGAATCCTGAACCCCGAAGCCCAAGCCCGAAAATCCAGAACAGCATTCCCAAGCGGTAGGGCTTAAAGTAGGGCCTGAGGGCCTAAACTCGTGAGTTTTATGACAAGGTGCCATGGGTGGCATGGGCGCCACTGGTGCAGCAATGGGAGGAGGTTATGGTGGCTATGAAAGTTCTGGCGCTGGAATGGGAGGAGGTTATGGCGGCTATGACAGTTCTGGTGCTGGAATGAAAGGAGGTTGTGGCGGCTATGACAGTTCTGGTGCTGGAATGAAAGGAGGTTATGGCGGCAGTTGGGGTGGCAGTTATGGCGGTTATGGCGGCAAGGAGACCTGTGCGTCAGCGAGATTCTGTTCCCTATCGGCTATCGGGGTGTGTTTGTGGAAGCGTCTCGGGGCTTGGGAGAAGTACAAGGGCTTCAGGCATATCTGGATGCCCAACACAATCGGCAACAGTGCTTTGCAGAGATGTTCCATCCTGTAATCAAGAAGCCTATACATATATATATATATATATATGTATATGTATATATGTAAAATGGAATTACCAATGTAATTCTTTAGGGTTCCGTATCATAAGTCTACGATAAAGGAGCTTAAAACCCTATTCTAATTATTGAGGCTCCTATAGCTTGCGCTGCAGGATTATGGATCCTCCAAGGGATTCGGCAAGTCGCTGCCGCAAGACGTCAAAAAGTACAAGCGACTTGGCCTTTGGGTAGGGTTTAAGGCTTGAAGGGGACTAGGGTACCCGGGAGTCGCAATAAGCCTGGACGCAAAAAGGGTCTAGGGTTGTTTCGGGCTTCGGCGAGGCTTTGAACGAAAGCGGATGAAGAGAGCCACGCGACAAGGGGGCACGCCGGGAACTCTTAAAGAAGCGCACTAACCACCATTCGCTGTGTACGCGCTCCAAGCCCCAAGCCCGGAACCCACTAAAGAGTGTTGAGTTTGCGGATCTTGAGGATGCAGGTGTAAACTCTTATGTCGCGGCCATATTGTTGTGTGAGGACTGTAGAGAACCCGATACACCCTGCTCAATTGAGAAAACTTCCTTGAAGGTATTTGGGGTTTCTGCTTTATCCGGCAGCGTGCATGGCTTTGGGCATCGCGTTCTAGCATTTGAGCTTTCAAACTTATGCACCGAAGCCGAGAGCCTGTTGTCCCACACCCTGAACCCCTCCCCTCTTGAAACATGTCCACCGCGGAGGCAAACCCGAAACTTCCGAAACCCCAAGCACCCGACGGCACCGAAGTTTGAAAAAAAAAATCCGGACCGGTAGCGGTTTTCGCAAGCGAGCCCTCCAAAGTCTCGGGTTTCCAAACCAAGCCTTGGGATAGTAATAACAGTAAGAATAGTAACAACAGTAATAATAATAGTAATAATAGTAATAATAGTAATAATAGTAATAATAATAGTAATAATAGTAATAATAGTAATAATAGTAATAATAGTAATAATAGTAATAATAGTAATAACAGTAATAATAGTAATAATAGTAATAATAGTAATAATAGTAATAATAGTAATAATAGTAATAATAGTAATAATAGTAATAATAGTAATAATAGTAATAATAGTAATAATAGTAGTAATAATAGTAATAATAGTAATAATGTTGCTGCCCCCCTCTGACGGCTCAGGACCATTATGTGCCGCTTCTTCGAGACCACTGGTAACTGCCAGAGAGGTGAGTCGTGCAGCTATGCGCATGGCCTGCACGAATTAAACAGCGACTGGGATGCAGCGAGGACCTTCGTGCAAGTCGGAATGCGGCCTTCATGTCAAGCTTCAGAAACGTGCTTGATGTGACAAGGGAAGACAGGGGCCTGCGAGCCGAAGAAGACGCCTGAACCCCTAACCCGCAGCCGCTTGGAAAGGGATGCTACAGGTTTCTATGCGGTTTCTTGGTTCCGATGAGGTCTCATAGGGTTTTGCTGCGAACAAAACAACATCCTAAAGCCTAAACCCCAATCCTTGACCCTAAACACCAACCCCTCTCTCCTAAGCCCTAAGCTGACCCTAGACTCAGGTGCAGGCACCGGCACCGCTGCGGCGGCCGCCATGGCCGCGATAGGCAAAGGCCGGGAGTTAGGGAAATCCCAGAGTCGAGAAAAAGGATCCTGCTTAGGATTTAGGGTAGGGGTTAGGGCTGAGGGGGTTTAGGAGGTTCAGGGTGTTTGGGGGTTTAGGAGTTTTTGACACCTGAATACATGGCGATTGCACAAGTCCTGATGCAAAAAGGAGTTTTTGACACCTCAGGAGGCCTGGCTGCAAAAGGGGTTTTTGACACTAAGAGCCCAGCTGCAAAAAGGCTTTTGCATTGCTCAAGTGCAAAGAGTGTGCTTTTTGGTTTATGGTTTACGGTACACCTTAAATCCTTGAAGGTTCATTGGAGGGTCTTCCTGGGGTTTCTGAGGAGTGTTGTCAAGAGGTGTTCTTGCAGGATGTTTGGTGCAGGTTTGGTATTTGGCCGGCTTGTATATAAACCCTAGGCCCTATACCCTAAACCAATGTGCCCTGCAATGCGGGCTTCGTCCTTGCTGGGTAGGAGGGAAAAACACCTGCATAGGGTTGTTTATTTGTTTAAACGGGCGTTACCAGTCTGTAAGAGTTGGTTGGTGGTTTTCGAAGAGTTTTAGGCTTCTGGGCTTGTCTTTGGATTTGGGGTTCGGGGTCAGGGGGGTTTAGGCTTAAAGGCTTAAAGAGTATAATGTTTAAGACCAGGAAAACGGATTCATAGACAGACAGAGTAGCAGGACAGATAGTTAGGTACTGAGTACACATGCGGGCTAGCCGAAATCCTAAACCGTTTTGTTTGGAATACAGTCCGACGCAATCACAGGCAGCAAAATGGCTCATCAAGTGTGGGCCCGTGGTCTCCTTCCCTACACCCTAAAGCCTAAGAAAAAAAAAAAAGCCTAAGCCGTGTTCTTCCTCGACAGGAACCTTCACGCCGGGCTCCACGTTCGTTCCTCCGTCGAAAGGCGGTGCGAAAGGTGCCGCTGCCACTCCGACCGTGGGAGCTGGCATGCCCCTTGGCGCTTCGAGACGGTTGGTTTAGGGTCTAGCGTTTGGGTTTAGGGGCTTTGGGATTTAGGGCAGTTTTAAGGTTCAGGGTAGATGGCTTCAGGCGTGGTTGCCGCTCTCGCCTACAGTGATCCTATAGTGCTATAGTAGCTCTCAAGCCCGAACGCCTCTGTGCCTCCACCGAACGAAGGACGCCCAAGGCCGCGGCCACGGTAACAACCACGTTCGCGACGAACGGGCCCCTTGGAACCTGCTGATTTTCTTCTAATGCACGATTGAAGATCCGCATGAATACCTGTTCCTCGCTAGTACTCACATGCCCTTTGTAGTTTAAGGCTTCCTTATTGAATGCGGACTGCTCAGGAACCAGGTACTACAGGTCCGAGCCAGGTGAGCTTTGGAAGGGGCATGCTTGTGCGAGGACGCGGCGTCTCATCGCAGACTCTACGGAATTGAAGATGTAACGGTGTGCGAGTGGTATTGGACCCGAAAGATCCAACGGAGACCTTTCCGCTGCTGAATCGGGCTGCAAGGGGTAGGGAGTGATACAGGGCATTAACAGAAGGGCGGCGACCTTCGACTAGAAGGGTTAGACGAAAAAACAAAGCGCTGAACAGGGGACCGCGTTCTCTAAACCTCAAAGACGAAGGCCCTCAGGCCGAACCTCCTAACCTGAAGCCCTCAAAAAAGCCTTTTGTACCTTACCGAACCCGCAAACAGGTCCTGCTGAACTACCGAAAAGCCAGAACCTGATCCCCGCACCCGACGCCCATCTTCGAGAATTTTTGGCTGGCTCTGCGAAAGTCGAACACCAAATGGGATCCCCATAAAGGCTTCTTTCTGTATCTTTCTGTAAGCGTTCGCAGACGGGTTGCTTTAAGAGTTCCTAAAAGGGTTCCCATAAGGGCTCCGATAAAGCTTCCTCTTCGTGACCCGTTGCAGGCAATAATGCGAAAAGGAGCAGGTAACCGGAGCCAGAGGGAACGACTCAATGCAGAGGTAGGAGTATCTATCAATAGCATACCTTTTGACACAAGGTCCTGGTTGTATCACTACACTTACTATACTATATGATGCCATGTTAAAGTACCCCTCTATCGTCCTTATATGACTATACGGGACTACACTATAAGATCTCCCAAAGCCCACTCTAACTGCTAAGTCCGTTACATTTAGCTCCAAGCCCAAAGTCCAGGTTTGTTGCCGCAAGCGAGCCTTCAGTGTCGAGTTCCCTTCCAAACGGACTCGCGAGTTCGCTTCCACCAGGCTCCCAGGGCCAGGATTTTACAGGTTTTCTGAAAGTTTGTTTCTGTCTAAAAGGGTAGCTCGCCACAGGGATTGAATGGCGCTTGCAAAGGGATTCCTACTTTTTTTCGAGCTTCGTGCATTGATTTCTGCATCAGTACACATACCACATATCTCTATTTTGTTGATCTGGCGATGTATTTAGTTTTTTTGCCAAAGTGAAGCTGGCACTTAAAACTTCTCAGGACTCTGTAACATCTCAAGAGCTGTAGTCCAGAGATGACGAACTAGCATCTACTTCCAAACATTTCAGAACGGAGGGCTTCTGAACTTGGTGTTTGTTCGGATACCCGAAGCCCTACACCCCAAAAAGCGCTGAATCCTTAAACCCCTAAACCCCAAACATCACTTGGTATGACTCCGAACCCACATGCCTCGCCTCGTTTGTCCGAGTGTGAGCGCCGAAACCCCAAGCCGATTGCAGCATCTGGAAAGGGTCTTGCGATCATGGGAAGTTATACTCCCCCCCCCACCACTCCCCCCCCCCCCCCCAAATAAATAGGTCTTCGTACCTCTTGTCTGCTGTAAATAGCTAGCAAATAGACTCCGAAAGTGTGGGCCGGCTCTTTGAGTCAACTCCAAGTCTCAAGAGAACCGGAAGCCCCAAATCCCTATCTATATATATATATATATATATATATATAATATAATACTAATAATAATAATAATATAATAATAATAATAATAACAATAATAAGTATATATGTGAATTTACGGGTTGCGGGCTTAGCATATCATGGGGAGGGTCATGGGGATGTTGGGATCATTCTCTATCGATTTGGCGCTCGGTTCCGGGCGCCATACTCTCAACCAGCGGTTTTGCTGCTTCGCGCTTCCTGGTTTCGGATGTGGGTCAGCCAAGTCGGTTGACATTGGAGGGCTTCGTGCTGTGAAGGGATCAGGGATTTGAATTCCCATGTCGAGTCCGGATTCAGAGACCTCTACTTAAAGGATCATGGGACTTAGTAAGTGGGGGTTATTCTGAAGGTAGCTATACTTATAAGTACTTATAACCCCAACTAAGGCACGTATAACCCTACTTACTAAGTCCCATGATCCTCCAAGTACCCTGAACCGTAACATCCCGGAGCTGGACCTGTGCACTGTGGGAAGAACATCTTTTGGAGTCTTACATCCTGTGAATCCGTAAGGAACAAACGTCTAGGTTCGCCATAAACCGAAAGAAGGAAAGCACTCCCGAAAGAACTTGAACACTTACACCTCAAACTGTGTTCCGAGCCAGTCAGCTAGGTGGGTGTGAACGAATCCTTAAACCTTAAAGCCCTAGACCCTAAAGTTATGTCAAGCTTGTCACTGAGGTTTCTCGGCAGGATTCTCGCCAGCTCTGTGATGCGACGAAGCTCAACCGTAGCAACTGCTTGGAGCCCAGTGGGTTTAGGGTTTAGGGATCAAGATTCAAAGCTTAGGGCACTGTAGGGGTGGGAATCTATTGTCCATGGATATGTATAGTTACATGTACACCAAAATCCTACTCCCGTTTTTAAGGCCTCTGTATTATTGGAGCCAGTTCGGATTGCAGCGGATGCACTTGTCAAGACCCTGGTTTGATATACCATCTAAGGTGTGAGCCACGTGAGCATGCATGCATCCAAGGGTAAATGGAGATACCCTTAATAAGGACCCCTAGGTATATAGCCTTAATATAGCTATTATATATCCATTATTTTGCCCATTAAGGGTCCCTCCTTTTCCCCTTTGAATGCATGAGCTCGATTCTCGGTCGGGGCGCTCAGTTGCTACCTTGCGATACCATGCCCTCCCAGACGTGTTGGCCACATGCCAGACGGTGACTACTAGAGGGGCTTTCCTTATTGCCAAAGTCCTTGCGGTTCTAAACAGATTGAAAGCATAATACGCCCTAACAGCCTATTCTGAAACGGCACCTATAGCAGCCTATAGCACTTCAGGGAGAAGACTAACATTTGGCTCATGAAGCCTTGATAGAAACCAAGATGGAGTCAATACCGGGGCCCGAACAACCATAATAGTATAATATCAATGCCAATATTTACCAACACTGTTTTGGGAGCTCATTATTACAATTATAGTATAATCCCCAAACCCTTATTAATAAGGCCCCTGTCTTTGGGTGGCTGGATGCAGCTTCGGTAGCCTGCACCTCGGTCTCGTTCGACTTGTCGTCTACCCAAGCCCATGGGTCAACACAGCCTTATGGGAATTTCAGCCAATGAGGGATTCCAAGATAGACGTTAGATAGCGCTGTAATCCTGAATCCGAATGTCAAGAACCCCTTGATTAACTTCCGCTTCTGACATAGCAGAATAGTTGCTGCACTTCCGGATCCTGCCAATCCCACGTTCCACCAGCTCACGGTGAAAGCCTTAAGTTCCAATACAGTAAACTGTTTTACAATAGGGCATCTTATGACTTTTGTCAACATCGTATCATGGCATGTCCTGTTTCGCCATATACCCTGTCCCAGCACGGGCGAAGGGCATTAAGCAAGTTTGTTTCAGTTGCCTACCGGGGCCAAGAGAACGCGGAGCCTACCTCTTTGTCCAGAGGTCGCGCGAGCTGCAGCACATCAAGTGAGCCCGGGGGGCTGCAGAAGCCCAGTAGAGTAAGGTTAGGAAGTTCTGGCACATGCACAACAGTGTGTTTTATGTTAGCCATAGGCTTGGTCTTGTTGCTTCGGCTGACTGCCGACCCTTCAATGGGAAGTGCGGTGTCGTACGCCAGAGGCCATACAGGCATCATGCCGTAATGCCACCTGCATCAGAACCCAACATCTCAATAGCACCTTTTATGCTTGAGCACACCTTGAGCTTAGACCCCCTCGAAACCCTGAACTTTGACAGTGCACCTGCACGGCATTTTGTTCCGGCTGTGTGGCTGCAGCAAGAACCTGAGTTTCATCAGGCCAGCAGAAGAGTTTGCATTGTCAAGGACGAGGGGCCTCGAAGATACCATGTCAAGGTTTTTATAGTCAGGGGCCCCTTTCCTTTTATCATAGCACTTTGTCTGGTACAGTATACCTTTTCGTTTTAATGATATGTAACTATATCCTATTATATTATATTAAATAGATTACATTATACTATATCATATCATACAATATCATATCATCTCCTGGATCCTAAACACCAATCCCCAAACGCTAAACCCCCTTGCTCTTGGGGTTTGTAACTGTATGACTCTCTGTGTTCCATGTTTCCGATCCCTCCCTTGCTTAGTGAAGACGGAGTATACAGGAAGAGACTTAGCAGTGGTGGAGGTTCCCCTCTTACATGGGTGGTTGTCAAAATTACGGTCCCTTTACAGTATGTGCCCCCAATATAGTACGGCACCTAACATTTAGGGTACCCAAAAAGGGGCCATAATTTTTACAACCACCCACATTCTAATAATTAAGGCCCCTGCACTAAATCCTTATAATATCCCTATAGTAGCCCTTATAGACCCGTTTAAACATAGACAACGTGGAGACGGTGCCAGCAGACGTAAAAAGAAGTGGAAGAGTTGCTCTTCTCCAGGGCCAGACTCGGCCAGATGTGGGAGTTTCCGAAAATAAGGGGACCCGAATATAGTACCCTGAAAGGGCCCCTTAAAGGAACCCATAATGGTAGTATATGGTAGTATATGGGAGTTTCCGAAGATAGGGGACCCTGACATAGTATATACCCTAAATAGTAGGATCCTGATAAAAAAGGACCCGAAAAGAAGGTCTACACCCTCAAACTGATACCTGAGCACCCAAGCCCCAAAATATGTGTGTCGGTAAACTTTCAACCTGTATAGAAACCTGTCAGTAGTTTGAAGAAACGAGTGTAGCAGCCTGTGTCGTAGCCCTTATATACTTATCGGAACACTCTCAGCTCAAACCCTTTTTCCTTACGCATGGCCTGAGGAGTCCGGGAGATACCTACGAACCTTGCAGCGGGAGATTGTAAGGATTGTGGTCCGAAGCCAAGAACCGAATCCTCAAACCCGACAGTTGCCTGATCTCTAACTTGTCCCGGAAGGAACTGGGGTTGATTACACAGCTGATTAAGAACCCTACTTCTCCCTGAACCCAAGATTCTAAACCCTGACTCGACCTCTTAGAGGCTTGCTGCTGGCCTCGCGGCGGCGGCAGCCGCGCGCAGCGCCGGGCGAGGCTAAAGAGCTTCTTCCTTCTTGAGGGTGTATATATATATACACATATATACACATATTTTTATTGCATCGCATGCTATATCTTATTAGAGCTTTTTTTGTTGGTCGAGGGGTTGATGGCTTAAAGGTTTTGTTCGGGGATGTAAGTGCATATTGTTTTTGCTCGCGGCGAGTGGGGTTTCGGCGTTTGATCCGTCCAGTGTTGCGGCGAGGACACATGCGATGGGCGTGCAGGGGGTTCAAGATTTTGTCGCGTTTGGGAGTGTGAGGCTGCAAGATGTGTGTTGGCTTACTGGAGCCGCTCCAAAGACGTAGTTGCATTATGTTTAAGTTGCAATGTCCCGATTTGGCATGGTCACCTCAGTCCGTCGGGTTCGGGTCTTGGGGGGCATCGCGTGATCCCAGATTGAGTCAGCATGATGAGGATTTCTGCCAAGTTCTTTTTTGTGTGGGTTTGTTAAGGTGTGGGTTTCTGAAAGTCGAAAGTACCTCAGCCAGGGGTATTGATCACAAAATGTCAGAGACTTCAAGACTTTACCATGAACTAGCCGGGTTTAGGGTTTATGGTTAGCGGCCATGGTTCAAACAAGCCCATTGCATGATTCGGGGGTTTCCGAAAATAGGGGACCCTAATATAGTACCCTATAAATGGTAGGATCCTTATTATAAGGACCCCAAATAATAAGGTACCCCTATTTTCGGAAACTCCCATTCAGGCCCAACCTGAGACCGAAATCAGCTCTCTGCGTAGGGTTACAAGTCCACGTAGGATTTCGAGCTGCGACACCCTGACCTCTGAACCCTGAATCCCGGTTTAGTGTTTAGGGTGCATGGGTTTAGGAAAGTTTAGGGTTTAAAGTTTGGGGTCCTGAACCCAAAAACACAACACCTGCATAACCCTATTGAAATCACACCCTGAAGCTTCGAACAGGGTGAAGGTCTTGCTACACTCGAGCCTTTTCCCGTTCAAACTAACCCTATATAAATTGTTCAGAACCTCCAAATCTGGGTATCTTTAGAACCTCTGACAGCCCTTGTAGATTCGTTATCAATCCCTTAAAAGACCCTTGTAGAATCTATAAGAGAGCTTCTTAACATCCTAACCCCCTTACAGCATCCTTGGAAATACCTCATAACCCAGCCTGGGTGGGTGATCCGTCCGCAAGATCCGATCCTGTGACCCTGAGTGGAAGGATCATGGGTAGGGCTTTCAGGGTTCGGGCTTTAGGGTTGAGGGGGCTTTAGGTGTGGTAGTGTTCTTAAGGGCCTCAGCCCGAATTCCGAAGTGTTGGGTCGGGGACAGCAGCATCGAAGGCAGCTTGCGACACAGGTGGTGCGACGCTCGGAAGGCTTGCATGTCAGGTTCAGGGATTGGGGTTCAGGGGTTGAATTAAATTCCTAAACCCCAGACCCAGTTTAACGTTGATGGTTCAGGCTGTCGGGTTAGGTCCGAAGGGAGTCTTTGCGCTGTATGCTTTGGGGAAGTCTTTGCAAAAGATGATATGACACAGGAGTTTCCGAAAATCAGGCGTCCTTATGCTAAGGGTCCCACTATTTAGAGCACTACGTAAATAAGGGGCCCATTTTTTGTCGGAAGCCACCACATGTCTGTGCTGACCTAAAGTCCCCAAAGCCCGGAAATCTGGGCGTTCGCAAAGTCCAAATGCTGAATCTCGGACCGTGGTGATTCCTGCAGCGAGGCTCATGGCTTAAATGTTGTGGCTTCCAAGCTCAGACCGTCACAGACATGACATGCCTCACTGGTAACGTCTCCTAAGCCTTTGTGAGCCCATATTTCTAAGATGAAACCCTAACCGAACCTCGCGCGAGTTCCAGCCGCATCTCGGGTGACCGCAGCCGCAGTGGTTTACGGGATGCCAGGGGTTCAACATGGGAGTGCCAGAGGTTGAAGGTTTGGGATGAGGGAGTAGAGCTTAGGGTTCGGAGGCGAGGTCGTGCAAAGTTATTCAGCCAGAAACCTGGTTTAGGGTGGAGGGTTCAGGGTTTCGGTTTAGGAAGATATGGGTCAAGCCAAGGATCAGAGAGCTAGATCCTGTTTGGTTCCTGTAACGATTCTTACAGGGGTTCTAGAAGGACGCTGTCAGAGTGCTAGAGTGGTTCATCTAAGAAGTATTATGAAAGTCGTCGTGGCAGATCTTCTGCTATCTCTTTGGGGCATACTCCTCGAACACCTCTAGATGTTGGACTGGAAGA